GGATCATCGCTAAGTATCAAATTAACCATACTTTAAAGGTAGGTATGGTAATTAAAACCACAAAAACAAAATAACTTTACATACCTAATGGATTTAGTTCTGACACGTTAATCACGTCGGGCACAGGGATAAAACTTGAGATGCATCTTAATATCTATTATAGAAGTTTGTGAGGATGTATGGATGTTTGTAACATTATCTCATTTTAAGTGAAGAATGCAAAGTTTTTGAATATATCCTTAAATCCATATCTATCTAGTAAATCACAATTGCTAGGAAAGTTGTTAATTTTATTTGATTTACAGCCGCCCGCGACTTAGTTACGCGTGGATCCCGTTTTAACCCTTAGGGGCGGAGTTTCGTACAATCCGTTCTTAGTGAGCACCGTTCTAAAAGGAACCCCCAAATAGAGACTCCTAGCACTTGTAGTTTCTGAGATTTGGTGATGAGTGAGTGGAGTCAGTCAGTCAATCAGTGACGTTTCACTTTTATAGACCTATAAGTAGGTTGATCCTAGAACAATCCCGATGAAACCATTAGGTATTCGTCTCTTCCAAGGCAACAGGATTTGTTATTTTTGTGTGATAATTTAAAATTTCAAATAGTTTTACTTTTATTTACTAAAAAATGATCGTCGTAGCAGACTATTCGGTCTTGTTTTTCAACACAAAGAGTCACGGGCTGCCCAATTTTGTCTTGCGATGTTTTTCTTCTTTTAATTTTGATTTTATCTTTAAAAATGCTTTTTTTGGTTGTTAATGCTGATTCGCTTTTAGTAGTATAACTTTTTGTTGATGTATATTCATAAACTGCTTCAACCTGTTTTGTTGTGTTTATGCTTGATATCTCTGAGGTGTTATCTATTATATTTATTGAATTGGAGTCATTACCGTTTATTACATCAGTAGTTATATTGTTTGATAATGTGAGAGTCGCTGTTGGTAATGATGAACTATATCTTTCTGTAGTAGTTGAATCACTTATATTTAAAGTTTCTTCTGTAGCTGTACTTGTTAGTGTTGAATTAGCTGTGCCTGTCAGATTGAAGGTCACATTTATATCTTTTGAAGAATTTGACAATAACAATGATTTTAATTTCATAGTAATTTGTTTAATCTTTTCAGTTGAAGTTGTCATTACAGATGCAGCACGCAATTTCTTGATTAACGGCATTTTTTCTAATGACGTTCTGGATGGATTTTGTTTCGCGTCTTCTCCACCATTAGCCAACGGTGGTGGACGTCGAATACCCTCGAAAGGACCAGTGACGTAGCCGCATTCAATCCTGTCACCTCTCATTCGACACCCATTTCCCATATCCACGATATTCTCTTTGTTTTTAATGTCGCCTGTATTTTTATTATAGCCACACAGAACTCTGTTATTTACAAGTTTGCAATTGTTTTCGTCGAAGTCATAGCCATGGCAGGGTCGTCCTGGTTCTTCCTCAGGGCTGTCAGAGCGCAGTCCGATGGCAGCAATAGGAACTGATGGTGGTCGTTCAACCATGGGATTGCTGATATCTAGTGTAAGTGGATCAAACTGGACTGGACCCAGTTTAGGTTCACATTGTGATATTATCAATAGTTTTGTAAATATTATGAAGTTCTGAAAATATTTATTTTTTTAAGTATAAGAAATTATATAATTTAATCTAACGTAGGTCATACCTACTTACCAGTACTCGTATAAACATTTTAATTTAAAAAGTCATTGAATGCATCGGCGGAAACTATATTAAGTGAATTAATCTGTAAAATTAATTATTGAGTAGGGTTTACAAATAAAATTAAAATCAAGTTTCTGGCGATTCTGGGTAACTATTTTGGCCATTATCTTTTAATGCGTCATAGAGCTAACGTAAATGAAACTCCAAAAAGTATACAATAATTTATGGCGCGAACTTTTTAAACCAGATCTTCTTGATAGACTGGCCGCCACAAGGTCATGGTCGAGCTTTATAAAATAAATCTCACGAGATGACGTTGTCTGATAATATTTCAGAACAGAAATTGTGTGGGAAAGTTAAAATGGATACAAATATTTACAATTGAAAATATAGAAATATTTCTTACTTGCAGATATAGGTACTTAACCATAATGCAAAATGTAGTTGCTGAAGGAAATATAAAGTAACAATCTTCAATATGTCTAAAACCAGGAACATAATATTATTATGTGTCGTACCAAGAAAAGTAAGTTCAAAGTTTAGCAATAAACACGACTGCTGAAAGTAATTCTAATAAAGATGTAAGACATACAATTGAAAACCAAAACTTCTGTATTGTACCTGGACTCGATCCATCTCACACAAAAATTGTTGTAAAGTATTCATTCGTACATAATTTAAACAGAGTGATAAATAACCATATCGTCCTCAATGTTCCTTCAATTTAGTTGAACCCAGAAGAGACCGTATAGCAATAAGAAAGAAAAAGAAAACTTGTCGCGAAAGATGCGGACCTAAAGCGTGCATAAAGAAGATTTGCCGTTTTTTTTGTAGAAGAATTAAAAGGTGTGTCAAGAAGAAAGTCTTCGGAGTGCCAGACCCCAAACTCCACGAATATGAAGTTGTCGGAATTAATCTAGGCAGCATTAAAGATAAAATATTACCAAGTAAAGATCGTAGTAGAACATCGCTAGCTAATCAAAACAAGAAAATGACGAAGCTTTACCTCGAAGATTTGGACCTGATAAAGGGAATGAACGCAAGTGAACTGGGAAAGAAATTTTCTGTGTCACCATCAAAAGCCAAAGTATTAGATAAATTGGTTGAAGATTATAAGAAAGGACGCCTTTCTGTTACTATGTTGCCAAACAAATCTAAGATAAGGACAAGGAAACTTAACAAAGAGAAACTCAATAAGATAATACAGGATTACGATGAAATTAAAAAGAACAGTAAAACTAGGTCATCGAAAATCATCGAAAAACTGAGAAGTATGGAGCCAGCGGAATTGAAAAAGAAATTTTCACTGACTAGTTCAAGACACAGAGTTTTAGAACGAATGGTAGATGATTATAAGAAAAACAAATTTTCCTTTTCAAATTTATCAAACCATTCTAAATTTAGTTCAAGAGGAATAAGCAAGGGGCAAATGAACCAAATGTTGACAAATTATGAGGCACAGAAGAAAAAGAGTTTGAAACTTCCGTTTTCATTACCATCTAGACTGGGACCCTTAGAGCCTTTAATTGATGAATTAAAGAATACCAGAATGTCAATTTCCAGTATTACCAGAAAAGTTTTCAGAAAATGATTCATTTTATATAACTTGATTCTAATAATGTCAGTACAATAAAGTTTGTCGTTGTGCCTTATTATTTATTTATTTTAATGATTTCACTTCCTCATAAGTACATGTGTTACTAATATCAAAATATTATATTGTTTTATTCATAATTAGGCCAATTTTTTAGGCGGTTTAATAATATCTGACTGCGCAAGGTTCCTAGATCACTAATTATACTCACTCCTCCAGCTATTACTTGGGTGGGTCCGCGTGGGCGTTGGTCTGAGTCACCTGACTGAGATGTGATGATAAATATCGTCCCTTAGCTAACAACACCGCGTAAGTCATTTTTAGCAACTTTTCAGGAGACGAAAAAAACTGTTTATTTTAAAAAATCGGTGGATTTTTCCTATTGTTACTTATTAAATACTTTATTTAGCAGTTAAGAAATAATTATTTATACTTAATTTGACGATTTACTTTATTTTAACCTATATTTTATGACTTGAGCGGTGTTGACTGATATTTTTGTAGAGTTAGGCGGTGTTGTTTGCCGAAATGTAAAGGAATAAGGTATAGCCTGACCAGGAACATAAAAACCCTCGCCATGTTGCGGAAAACTAATGGTACTAATTTCTTTTAATGGCAACAGTAACTGAAAACTTCATTCACATGTCACCATGCATGTCAGTCTATTGTTGTCAAAGTGTAAACAAACTTTATTTTAAATGTGTGCAATTGATTTCGTGAATTAAATTGCTAAAATATTTTTATAGTCGTGAAAGAAAAGTGGTTCACGATGTGTTAATGTATTTGTCGAAGAGAAATACTAAGGGTTCGGACAATATTTTCATTGAATAATGTTTCCGACAAAGGTTGTCAAATTGACTGACATGTTTATCGTATGGTACAGTCCACTATGAAAATTAGCTGTAGTCTGTTTCAACTACCTATTTTAAAGTTTTTTGTCACTTTCTAAGTTTTGAATTTTATGGAATTGGGAAAGAAGTACCGAGTTTGAAGCGTTCATGAGCAGACATTGCAGTTGAATATTCATGTTCTGAATTTGATTATTGATGAATAATAAAATAAATCCTACTAGCTCGATTGATGGTTTCATTTAATTTATTTAAACCAGGTTATCTTTAATAATATTTTTCGTTAATTTATGAAAATATCAAATTAGCCCGTAATCCTGAATCCTGATACATAAAGGACAATGTTCATTTCTGGCCTGGCGTGGACAAGTTGCTAATGAAAATATGAATTTGGCAAAATTTTTTAATTATTTTTTAAAGTATTTCCTTAGTGTAACTTTGTATCAATTTACTTAATTAAAAATCCAATTTTAATAGTACTTTAGGCGATAATTACAACTTCCTGTCTTTGACTCTGAATTCAGTGTTGCCAAAATAAATCCTATCGGTAATAATCGATTCAAATCGATTGTTTTTCGACCATAAAATCAAGTGTATTTTTTTAATACTGATTCATTAAAATGACATTAAAAAAAACTTTTTAATATTGGAATAATATTTACCATAAAATACTTTATTAACTAAATGAAATACACTTTATTTTGGATCATCAAAAATACAATCGATTTTTATATCGATTATTTTTAATTATCACTACATAATTAGCATGGCAACACTGAAACACGATAAAAAAAATACTGTCAAAAGCTGTTTATTGTCATTCGCTTTGTATTTTTCATCGTGAGTGTTGTTTGAGTGTTTCCCTTTCGACGACTTTATATTTTTGACCATGGACCTTGATGCTTCCCTTCCCGACGACCCTGGCATACTCTCGGACCCCGAATCTCGCTCAACCGATGACCATGGCTCACTTTCGGATAACGAACCTTGCCCAAACGCTGACCACGGCTTACGTATGGACTCCGACCCAAGCCCCAGTGTTGACCCCAGCCCGATTTTGGATAATGAACCAGCAATTCCTCAATCTCATGAGGAGCCTATGAGATGTATTAATTGTGGAGCTGACGTGACGCAGAGGAGGCGACATAACATAGAGCTTATTCAAGTTCAGACGGTTATACGTCAGTGGATAGCTCCTCAACTGGTAAGTTATTGAATGAGCGTGTGGATTTGTTGAATACCTTTTACAATGTTTATAATACCTTTTACTTTTACTGTAGATAACCATAATCCTGATATAACTGTTATTTTTTTTAGATTGATGACAGCAGTGTATGTTGTCACTCATGTTGGACCGTGGCTCTGCACCAATCAAGGACAAATATGTCAAATGAAGAACCAACAACTAGCACCGGTCACAGTCGTAATGTCTGTGTTAACTGTGGATGCTCGTTGTTACGAATACGGTCTCATAGGCTGCATACTGACACAGAAAGAGAATCACGTATTCGAAATGTGATAATGGAACAGATTTCACCTCGTCAAGTAAGTATTGTAATGATTATTTTTATTAATATTTTATGAAAGACATTGGCTTGATATATTTTAACAAAATGTATGTTTTGTTCTATACAAATACTTTACTGATAAATAAACATTGACTTGTCTCACATCACATCATCACATCTCAACATTTTAAAGAAAAATGAATTTTGAATGATACCTTATTTGATTTCTTTGTTTCAGCTGCGGGGATCTGACCAGATATGTCATCCCTGCTGGCAGAGAGCTGATCGAGCTGCTACACATGCTGCGGAGCCCCAACAAGCACATGATGGGACGAGAATTCATTTGCCCTTATATTCAAGAGCATCGGACACTCAAAGTCATTGTTTTTTCCCCGAGTGTAATTCAACACAAAGATTGGCTGTTCCCATTTGGCTGAGGGTAAAGTTGTTTAGTGAGTATAAGTTTTATGTACCTCAAAACTGCAGGATTTGTGTTTTCCATTTACACAACGATAATTGGGAAGTATTATCTGACATTCCTCAACCGATACATAGTTTTAATGCTGACCATATACAAGATTTTGCATCTTTTGTTAATGAGAGGCCGCTGATGTTGGATTTTTCAGAGGTAGAGAGAATGTCAGATGAGCTTTTACATTATTGGGTTGGACTAACAAAAGCCAAATTCGAACAGCTCTATTCGGAACTACCAAGACTTGGAGCTATGCGTAATGGTAAATTGGCACTTGGTGCATATTTACTCAAGTTGAGGACAGGAGATAGTGATAAAAGAATTTCGACACTTTTGAACATATCCAGATCTAAGCTTATGAGATTGATGGGAAAAGCTAGGAATATTTTAAATGAGGATTTTGTGTCCAGATACTTAGGGACAGATAATATTACGCGAGCTGAAATCTCTCAAAGGAATTTACTAATACCTAATGGATTGTTCGGTGGTGTCGATCGTAAACCAATTGTTATAATTGATGGAACATACTTATTTGTTCAAAAAAGTTCTAATTATATGTATCAAAAAGATACTTATTCTTTACACAAGTATAGGAACCTTATGAAGCCTTTTCTAATCGTATGTACCGATGGATACATTGTCGATGTGTTGGGCCCCTATCCAGCTACAACATCTGATGCGACTATTATGTCTAATGAATTTAACGATGAGACAAAGCCATTGAGGCAGTATTTTCAACAAGGAGATGTTTTTATACTGGATAGGGGCTTCAGAGATTCTGTGCCGCTGTTAAGGAATTGTAATTATTCTGTCCACATGCCTGAATCCTTACAACAAGGTGAAACACAGTTGTCAACAATGGCAGCCAATAGATCGAGATCTGTCACAGTATGTAGATGGGTGGTTGAAGCCGTGAATGGTATGTTCAAACAATGTTTCAAATTGCTTAGGCATGAATTTTTCAACCGCGCATCTAAACATGCTATGACAGATTTTCGCGTTGCTGCAGCAGTTATAAACCGGTTTCACCAGAGAGTTACTGATCGAGAGGATGCAGGTATAATACTGGACATAATAAATCAAAAAATGTACACTGACAATGTATTAGCTGATTTTGTTATACAAAATAATTTAAATAGACGGCGGGCAGACTTTCGCAGTATAAATGTGAACATCGAAAATGTGTCATTCCCTAGAATGGAATTTAGTGAATTAATTTTAATAGCATGTGGTACATACCAGCTAAAACAGGCTCGATCATATTATGGGGAACATATCAGAGGCAACGGTTCCTATACTATAGAAGTGTGTAGAGACACAGCCAGCAACCTACTGAACGATTACCCTACACCTTCGGCCAGTTGTAGCTTATTAAGGGGTAAGATACACAGCAGGCACATAAGCCGTAAAATATATTATGTTTATATTATTTATGAAAATAATTTAAATGGGCGGGAAGCAGTAAAACAATACTGCTGCAATTGTATGGTTGGCCGAAGAACAGTAGGTTGCTGTGCTCATGTGATGACAATTGTATGGTTTTTGAGCTGGGCAAGGTATCAAGAACATATATTTCCACCTGCCCAGTTCCTGGATAATATTTTGTTGACCTATGAATCAGATTGAAAATAAAATAATGTAAAAAAATGGTGTTTTTTTTTGCTTTTAACCTTTTTAAACTTAACCAAAAAACAATGTTTTTAATGATTTGGATACAAAATTATATTTATATTCTGTTTCTTACTGGTATAGACTATTTAACCAATAACAAATTACATGCTGTAATGTCTGTCCACCTCAGGCCAAAGGTCCCATACTAAGTGGACATAACCCTTTAGCCTATTAATTTAACACATGTACGACTGTACTCAGTGTTGCACTATCAAATGCAATTGAAGCGCCTCTGTGCCAGGGTTTTTATGTTCCTGGTCAGGCTATATTAATAGATGATTTACAAAGAAAATTTTACTAAGAATTATTTAAAAAATAATTAAAAAAATTAATTATACCTACTTATCTTTAACCTAAATCTTAAGAATCACAGTATGTAGATCAAATATTGTGATGAGGGGGCTTCAACGCGAAGCTGGGCAAACGAAACGACAATGAACTGGAAGTGGGGCAATTTGGGTACGGAGAGAGGAACGCACGTGGCCAACTGCTGGCTGGCTTTATGGAGAGGGATGATGAACTCCTTCTTCAGAAAGCCAAAACAGAGAAAGTAGATTTCGCTGCATCCCAATGACGCTATGAAATATGAGATCAACTTCATCTTGTCGACGTAGAAGCATGTTGTCTGTGTGGTCAATTTGGTCAAAACAGGAAGCAATCACCAAATGGTAAGAGGCACATTAAATATAAGTCCGAATCTCGACAGATGTCGACTGATAAAGTCTACACTCCGCCCAGCGTCCATCCAACCCCGAAAGCTCAACTCGAGTTGCAAAATCGTTCCCAATGCCAGGACATTGCAAAAATGTGGAAGAGTACAATGGCAGGTTCTTGGGAATTGACCAAATGACTGGGTCTAAGGTTTTTAAAACCCATCGTTTAGGAGAAACAAAAAAGATCTCTGATCTCATCGACAACCTTATAGAAGAGAGACGAAACATGAATCTGCAGTCATCTGAAGATGCTACTCAGTATCGGCGTCTTAACAGATAGATCTCTACGTCTTTTGACTCGCGACCTACACATATAGGTACTCGTAATACAGACGATTGAGCATAACAAGGGCTCTAAGGTGTTTGTAAGAGATCAGTCTGTTTGTTGGCCAAAGCCAACTGACCAAGCTGAATACCGAGAATAGCATCGGGGCCTGAGATATTGAATGAGGTTGAGAAGTTCTACGGACAATTATACACGACTGTGTTCACACCTGTTACAAATCTAGCCGAAGACCCAAGAGCTAGATTGACCCGACACAATACCTAAGATATCCCGAACGCCACTCTACACGAGCTTGGAATAGCTTTGGAACAGCTGATAAACAACAAGGCCTCGGGTGATGATAGAATTACGGCTCAGCTTTTGAACGGCAAAGCAGGTGAAATGTCGATGCCAAAGGCTCTTTGGAAGCTGTTCTATTCCGTCATCCTCGAGGGAATAACTCCTACGGCACGGCACAGAAGTGTGGTGATACTCTTCTTCAAAAATGTGATTTTTTATTTAACTAGGTAATCTTAGTTTCAAATATTAATTATTTATTTGTTTAACTTCTGATTTGGTTAGTGAATTGGCTATTTCGAAGAATTTACAAGGAGATTTAAATCAGAAGATAGCAATACTCAGTTCACACTAAAAAGAGAGGTAGGGCCGCAGAGAGCGAGATAGATATAAGTAGGTATTTGACTCAAGTTTTTGTTCCAACTCTGCCCTCCATTTTTATCTTTAGCTTCATGTCTGCTAAAGATTAACCGACCAACCGATAACACTACAGTCAAATTTTTTAGAAATCAGCAGAAATGTCATCAAATATGGCCAACTGACATAAAAATATTTTTAGTCTGTGAACTAGTGATGCGACAAAACCTCTCGTTAATCGCGAAGTGAAATGTTGTAGTACTTGCGTATCATCGCCGGGTGATCGTCAAAATAACGTCTAGCTCGCCGACTCGACGCCTTCCAGCCTCCTGATCAAGCTGGTTTCCAGGCTGGCTGACAGGCTTTAGTGTCTTAGATCACATACATACGCTGCGGCAGATTATACAGAAGACCGAGGAGTATAATCAGCCACTTTGCCTGGCGTTTGTGGATTATGAGAAAGCCTTCGATTGGATTGAAACCTGGGCAGTTTTTTACGCCGTTTATGTCCTGCTTCTTGTAATTGTGTACATAAAAATTCATCACCTGAACTTGGAATACTTCAAGAATCAATTCCTTCACCATCAATAGTGGATTTCACTTGTATAGCTTCCTAAAAGAATTAAAATACAGTTTGAAACACCGCCTAAGTTTGAAAAAAAAAATTGTAAACACCGCTTAAGTAAATGAAGATATTTTCTATTATCTTTTCCTTATATATTAATACGCGTAACTCATTAAAAAATACATAATTATATAGCTTACCTCTTAATCTTCTATTAAAACTTCTTTCATAGACCTTTTCGCGATAAAACTCACTTAAAAATATAAAAATTACGGAGCGCGAAGGAACTTTACGAGAAATGTATGGCAGACTAACGACTTGAGCGGTGTTGCGAGGTAAACCGACTTGCGCGGTGTCACTAAAATTCAAATTACGGCTTCTTATTGGCTGAAATCTATAACATGTGACCAATGGTTAGACGCGCGATGAGCAGATCTATCCAATGGCATTAAAATGTCAAAACCGCCAAAAATCGACTTAAGCGGTGTTGTTAGCTAAGGGACGATATGCGAAATACGTTAAAACTGTTGAAACATTTTTTATAAGTTAATAGCGAATCCTATTTACGGAAAAATGCTTTCAGCTTGGTCTCGCGGTGCATGAAACTAGCATAAACTCACGAGCAACCTCGCTGAACCTCGCAATCTCTCGGAATGTTAGATATCCGATACACACGCCTTATGGTACCTTCATAGCAGTTTCTAAAGCTGGCAATAAAACCTTTTCTAAAAGAAGGAAATCGTGACACCAGCGTTTGACACTGACATGATTACATTACCGTTCCCCAAAAATTGTAAGTGAAAAATGAGTAAATATAGAAAAAAACATGGGATAGTTCTAAAAACCACTTGATATAACATATTTTCTGCGTATGAAAAATGTGTCTGACGTAAAATAAAAGCAATATGCCTAGAGCGATGTTTTTACCATGTGTATTGGAAGGAATAAAAGTAAGTTGTGTGTTTAGTTTTTTAGAAACTTAATGATGGGTAATTTTTAAGTAAATTTGAGACGAGTATGATTGGGATATTATCGGATAATGTCGTATTTTCAATATCTCAAAGTTTTCAAGATTTGCTAGTAGAATCGCACTTTAGATCTAATAACAAGTGATTGCGTTTCCATCGAATATTCCTTTCATTCAGGACATCCAAGAAAGGATAGCAGAATAATTACGAAAATCCTAGATACTACTGGATGTTCCTGCCACGACATAGAATATCAAAATGCAGAAGCTTTACGAGAGCATTTCTAACAAATTCGATAACAATTATGCTGCAATGAAGTTTAGTGCAATACTGAGTCTATTTAAAAAAAAGCCAAAAAAGCCTCCTAGTGTTGTAACCTTTTATAGAAATAAGAAGCGATTAAGTAGATTATCAATTAAAGATTTGGATTTATTAGAAGGAAAAAACGTTGAAGATATAATAAAGAAGTACCCTTTGACGCCATCGAAGACAAAAGCTTTAGACAAAATGATTGTAGATTACAGAAAGGGTAATTTGTCTCTATCCGGGTCAACCACATCAAAATATAAGAAAAAGAAATTGAACAAAGATAAACTTGAGAAACTCATAACAGATTACGAAGAGGCAAAAAAGAAGAGAAGAAATAGTTTGTCACTTAGAATTATAGATAAATTTAAAGAGCTGGATGTTGCTGAACTAAAAAAGAAATTTTCATTGACAAGTTCCAAGGGAAAGCTGTATAACCAAATGATTGAAGATTATAAGGATAAAAAAGTGTCCTTATCAAGACTTTCAAACAAATCAAAGTTTGACCCAAAAAATATGAGCAAAGAGAAATTAAATAAAATTTTAAGAGATTATGAAAATAGAAAAATAAATACATCTACTTCTAAGCTAAATGACGCATTAAGGAAATTCTCGAAGATTTCAATTGATAATATCAAGAAATTATTCTAGATCAATTTTTACTACCTAAATTAGTTTTTTAATATTAAAATGATCGCTTTAAGTTGTTTTCGACGTAAGAGTATGATTAAAATAGTCAACCTAGTCTCAACAACGTGCTTTGTGTCTAAGCGTTTCACACTGATTGTTTTTTGCAGGTAGTGAATCTCTCCATTCGTCAGATACTTCGCGTAAACGTTCGCCTCGGCCGGAGAGAAAGAAAAGTAACAGTGCGCAGAATTTAAAAAACGCCAATAAGTCACAGTCACAATCCCGTGCAGCAGTAAGACCTCTAAACATACCTGGTTTATTCCCATACAATATTCCTGGCCTGAAGCACAATAACCCACCCACAAAACAAAACAGTAATACGCATGTAAGAAAAAATAGCATCTTGGACTTAAAACAAAACATAAGCAAGGGAAAGGTGCCTGTTATAGAGACAGAGAGACGCAGAGATAAATCCCCTAAGCCAGAGGTACATAAAGAGGTCCATAAGAAATTAAAAAATCGGGGCGTTGTGACTCAAGAAGTGTACCCAGCAGTAGTCAGTGAGAAGAACAAGCAAACTTACGTAGATGCTGCAAAGGTCTGGAAAACTCCGCCCCCGACTCCTGTGTCTAAAGATTTGCCTGGCCCGAGCAATCAAAAAGTTAAAGACAAACCAAAAAAAGAAAAAAGAAGAAAGTCCTTAAAAATAGCAGTACGACGTCAGCTATGGAATTGGTCGAAACACGCTCTCAAGGATAATGAACATTGGGGAAAACTATTCAAAGATAATGCTATAGATGTTGATAAAATCAATATTGACAAAGTGGATTTAAGTCTCATAAATATGGATGGTTTGGGTATTCAAAATAAATTTGTAAGACGAACTGTGGAATGGTTATTGAAATAAAATAATGTTGTTCTATTAGCCATTGTTTTAATGTATAAATCCGGTCTTCGCCAGCTAGTAGATACTGTCTCCGATAGCAAATAAAAGCACCGAATGAAGTCGTACAATTATGTCTAATAACTATGCCTCAAGTACTATATTCTATTCTATGAGTGTATGAAATGTTGATGTCCAAATCATCCAAATGTTGAATCGTGCAGCGACAGATCACGAATAACGACATTGAAAATTTTCATTTTGATCTTTTATCTGGTTTTAATTTTTGTTTTATCTCCTACTGATCCTACCAACCACTAGTGCATGAATCACGATCATGGCGGGCGATCGTTTCGAGTACACTTTTGTCTAACATGTATCAAACAAATTCTTAATGTTTTGCACTATAATACCTTTTCATTATTACAAAATTATACTGTTGACTCTACATTCTTTTCAATCAATCCTGAGTAGCAGGTAAGTAATCGAAACGCACTGTGATTTGTGATAAGAGACATGCTGAATAGCTATGTCGGATTTGTTATGGTTCGTTGCAGTACTTATTCGTTTCTTGATTATAAAGGATAGATTTTGTTCTTAAGAGTAGGCGCACACCGTTGATTTTTCGTCGGCCGATAGTTTAGTCGGGCAGTTGATCAGTATGGGCAATGGGCATGTATGAGAGTGCGCACACTACGCCGATTCGATTTGGCCGATTCTTCATACAATTTAAAATCGGGCACAACTATCAGCCAACTAAAAATCAACGGTGTGCGCGCCTACTAAGAGTTGCAATTTTTTCAGGTATACCTCAGACTTGTAAATTTAGCAACGACACGAAATTGTCAACCGCGAAGTAACCACGAAAATCAGAATCAACCACAATCTCTTAGCCCAGGACTACCAGAAAATGACAACCTTAATGAGGCACCCATTGTGAGACCTAGGAATCGATGCTGTCCCTACGATTTTGACAGTACTTTATGTAAAGTTGTCGATGATAGAGTCCTTTGTGGATTTAACAGAAACGTAGGGAGGCCTGCGAGTAAAGATCATGAAGTTGAACTCGGCCAGAATTGCCGTTTGAGAGGGGGAAGATTGGAATGTGGTTATGTGAATGGGCCTTTTACAAATCCTCGCAGGCCTCCCCCGTGGTATAAGCCTGGATCAGAATCAGATGGTGACAATGATGTTGATTTCAATCCGTCAGGAAATGACAATGATGTTGACTTCAATCCTCCAGGAAATGACAGTCCTGAAGTGAGTGATGAAGAGAGCAAACAAAAATTGAAGCACAACAAAGTGACGCCTGCACCCCATCGAGGGGTGACCAGGTGTGTAGAGATAGGTGAACGTATCGTATGTCGGGAAATATGAAATTAAGGCACTGGTAGGTACTATCTATTAAAAAAAACAACAACTTTTTCTAGTGGGAGCCGGTCCTGTGTCCTGTGTCCCATGAAGATGTAAGCTATGTTATTGAGGCAAGCATTAACACCTTTGCTGCGGCAGTAACTTTCTAATACTTTCCATTCCTTCGGTACAAGGTCAGTAAACCTGGTATTAAAACTTACATTGTGGCGGCACAAGGCTTAAAGACCTTGTAATATTTAAGATATATTAATTTTATTTTTGGCTTCATGTTAATAGATATTGTGTTTTTTTTCTTTGAATATTAATAATAATGAATTTATTGACATACACCTGAAGGCGTTCGTGAATAACTTGTTTAGTATAAAAATTATAGCTATATTCAAAATACAAGGCTTATGCACCCTGTGCCGCACTGAAGTAGGGAAGTCTGGTGGGTATTCTAGGGATGTGAAATACAAATATCGATAGTTTAAATTAAGTTTTAATAAAAATTTTAAAAAGTAACAAACAAAGATGTTTTAATAAATTAGTCTAAATATTTTACAAATAAGACATACGTGCATAAATACTTAAATAAGCTATATTTAAAGAAAACATATTATTTAATAACATTTAGTTACAACTTCAAATGTTTGTCACGAAAAACATTATTTAAATTAGCAATAAATCGTGTAGCAAATTAAATTATAATCAATTTGCAGTTTTATTTTGTTTGTTTCTCTTGACGCCATGTCGACATGTGCGTTTCTTACGAATGCGAGGCAACACTGGCTGCACGAAGCTAGCGTGGGGTGCGGTACCAGGTGCGCAGGGTACAAGGTGCTTCGACCTGGTTTCGCATTGTGAAGACATTTTATTACTTCCGTGCGGTACCAGGTCTAAAAACCTGGTATTAAGGTAGGTACATCATTGGATTCTATTTTAAGAATACATCATAGATATATATTCATCATTTTCCTACACCGGACCCAATTGAAGTTATGCCTTTCGCACGACAAGGAAGACTATAATTTTCTTAGCCGCACGGTAAGCGAGACGTACACAAGGTCTATAGACCTGGTTTCGCACTCAACGTGTTAAAATTAAATTAATAGCTACTTATTGAATTTGCTTTTAATCATCGTTTTAACCTTTTACATCTTGTTTTCTAAACTAACTAAATTTTAATTTGTATTTTAGTCTAACTCTTCGGTTTTCACGATCACAAAAGCCCTAGGTGTCGAACTTTGCAGCTACTTTTTAAATAGGAGTTCGTACGTACAGAAATGATTTTCAATGTCTAACTTTTTATTCCTTTATGATGAACCATTTAGATAGTTGGTTCCAATACTATGTTCTATGCACTACGTAGACAACGTGCTCCTTTCTCATTTTGTGAAAAAATTACTCATACCAAGATTGTTTTATTTAATTAATGTTATTGCTAAGAATAAGTTACAATAAATAACAATAAATACTTAACATCTTAATACATAGGGTTCAGTCGTTTGTATGTACGTGGTAATAAGTGTAAGGGCTCGTACACATACGACGTGGCGTTTCACGTATCATGTTTATGTGTACGAGCCCTAACTTATGAAGAAAATTAATCCTCTGACAAATAGTCCATTCCCGAATATTGGCTGCTAAACAAATTGTTTCCATCTTCGTTGTACATGGTGAAGATGTTCTTCATGGCTTTTGTGTCCTTGTCATCTTTTGGGAACACTTCGTCTAAGAAGTCGGTGATTATCTCGGACATGCTTCGCATTTTATTCTTCCCTCCGAACATAAAACCAATGATGTCCTCCAAAAAGTTGGCATCACATGATGCCATCAGTGACAGCAGCACAACAATCAGGAGAGTGCTTCGGATGACGCTCATTGTTCTGGAAAATAGAATATTGGACGTTTAATTAATTGCTTAAAACAAGAGAACACTTGGGTAGGTACTATTGGACTTGGAAACATGATCGAGTTATACTTTTGAATCGAATTTCACATTGCATGAAACTTAATTACAAAAAAATTGGCCAAGTGCGTGTCGTGCCACGCGCAGTGTAGGGTTCCGGTAGTTGTCCGTTGTTAACACAATATATTTCAGAAGCAAGCAATTACTTCATCTAAAGTCACTTTTAATATTTTCTTCTAAGGAATTTTCACTAGTTAACAAATTTTATAATACATGAGTTAAATGACTGTTATTCTTAAACTAACTGATGTATACGAATAGTTTTTTCTGCCGTAAGTATTGGTAAAAAGAACGGTTGGGTGGTTTCTGGATTGTCTGGAAAAGATCGCTTCCGAGCGATAATACCGCCTACAGTATGTATCGATGGGTGCCTGGAACAAAGCCGCAATAGCCATAGCAGCAGTTTTCCGATTAAGTGATTTTAGTAAACTGCGGGTCCCTATACACCTTTTGAATTTTTTTCAGAATTTTATCTTTGAAACTGCCTGATTTACCAAAAGCACTATGGATATTGAATCGTTATTCCCATTCACCATTTAAAATTTGTTGACCGGAATAATCGTGCCATATACAATGTTAAAACTTTTATTTAAATCTTCTACAAGCAAACGGCTATTACTGTATCCTTCAGATCAGCGCCCGAGGCTGCAATACACTATTGCTGTTTGATTAATTGCACACTTTTTACCGGAATAAAACCACAATGGACTCTTACGGAACCGACTTTCAATGTATGAAGCGGCAATATGTATTTCTACCTTTTTTAAAGTATATTCTAAGCACTATAACCTTATGCACATTCAATGTTACTCCAGAAAAAATAACGCATCGTTTGATATACAAACCGTTTTGATACGCCTCGTAGTTTAGAATTATTCAAAATTGACACTAAATCTCTTCTCCTGTAAAATTGTGTTTTGTCGATTGCGGCTTTGTTCCAGGCACCCATCGGTATGTAATTGTCAGTTTTTTGTCGTGTCATTGCAATAAAAAGTATCTGTTCATCATTTACCCCCATAATAATAAAAGTTACACCATAGTTAAACTCTAGTTTAAATTGTCATTTAGTATGGAAATGTTATTTTAATCCAGTTTTGATCCCGGGTGTAACTTTTTATTAAAAAGGGGGGAAGTATTTATGTATAATTAAGTACCTATAATATGACTCGTACGTACATAATGATCATTATACCTACTCGTATTATGTAGAGACGCCACTCCCATTGTAAATTCACTCAATTGATGTCAACTCCAGCTTGTAATTTATCTGTGATATTATGATTGAGATATCATTTGCATAATTTACAATAGGTAGGTAGTTATAAAACATTAAACTATGTCAAGCTAACCTAAAAACCAAAACTTTCTTTTGGAATTACGTAATCGCTAGTAAATATTATCCAAGAGAACTGGCTTTGTCTGTTCTTTTTTGCTAATGTGAGAAAATGTGTCAGTAAATTATAAAAAATACTATATTTCTGGATTACAATTGAGGTAATGTAATTATAGACAAATAATAAATCTAACTCTAATCGTTCTTTGTTCAGTTGTCATTTGATAAAAATCTTTGTCTAAACCAGTATGTAAATTATCTGTCCGAAAAATACCGAATAAACCATTAAAGCGTGGGTATTCTAGTGTCATCTATTATAATATTCTGTGGTGTCAGTGGGTCATTTGACCATAATGGTTTGTTGACTCTCAATCCAGACATAGCTCGCAGAGCTGATGACCGTTGGGATGGAAAAGCTCTCGAGTGGTGACCAGACCACGATCCGGAAGACGTACAGACGGCCAGGCCACTAGGTGGACCGATGATCTGGTGAAGGTCGCGGGAAGTACTTGGCAGCACAGGACCGATCGAAATCCTTGGGGGAGACCTTTGTCCAGAAGTGGACGTAATTTGGCTGAAACGAACTACCTATTCCTGTCGTTCATGCTGCCATTTCGCTTTTGTCATTTGTTTTTAATTAGGCGTAAAAACGGAAAAATCCTTCGGACAGTCAGAGTTCTTTCGCACAGATATTAAGCTTCTACACCTATACTAATAGTAGATTTGAGATATACTTTATGAGTCTATGTTAGGTTAATAGGTACTTATTTAGAAACGATCGCGTTTTCTAATATTTTCTAGTCTACATATCGTGAATGCATAATATAAAAAGCTGCGATATTTTCTTATAATGCACCTATTATTATCGAACGACTACATACTTTCGCGTTTAGAATATTATGGTTATGGTTTTTTAAATTAGGTACAAATAAGTAGTAACTTTTTCCCCACGAGTTTTTCATTTGTAGCACAAGGAACAAATAAATAGTTATCTCTGAAGAAAGAACTTCGAAAAATCTTCGTAAGATTTAAAAAAATCAAATCTTACAAACAAACTCACAAACTCTACCTTGTTATAACATTAGTGTGCTAAGATTAGCCGATTAGCCGATACAAATACTTAACTAAAAAGATGTAAGGAAAGAACGGAATCGAATGGAAGGAAGGATCATAATTATACTGAGTGTTTAAGCATATAGGTAGTAAGATAAGTATAGACCCGAGCATTTACTTGTAACAGAACTATGAGCTGCTCTACAATGTTCTAACTTCTAGTGTTCACCCTTTAAAGGATCATGAACCAAACGTCGTATGTTTCTAAGAATATACATAGGAATGCTCTAGTGACTAGAGTCGAGTCTAGTCTATACTCCTGCAGGTCACACATAGTGTGATATCACTGGCCCAGTTGTCAACAAGGCTTGGTGTATCAATTAGTGATACCGTCATCAGTAACGACGTTGCGTGACGATTTAATTGTAGGATAAGTTTTATAACGTTTAGTTGTCTAATTAAAGCATTTAAAAAGTTAGCGTGATTGTAAAATAAGACAAGGTTTTCTCTATATTTTCATTTTCATAGAAAGTCTATTGCAAACCAAACAAAATATCACATTGGCATCTGTAGCTACGAGTTTATCTTCATACAATTTTAATATTATTTCAGTAAATAGGTAGAGAACATACGAATGTCTGAGATAATTATTTGGGATTTTATTGATGATAAAATCAGCCACAGGACGTCAGCTGCTGAATATACTAGACCTCCCTCAATGACTTCCAGATTGGCCGGTTAGTAGTGGCCTGCATACAGCATTTAATTTTCATAGTTACTTATCTAAGTACGTGTAAAGTTTCAGTGTCGTTTCAGAATAGAGTCATATGCTGTACTCGTTAAGCTTTCCCTAAAAATGACTATTTCCTATAAAAATTACCATATTCTTGTCCTGAAAATTTTTACAACTAACCAAAATAAGCATACTTGGCGTCGCCGGTAAAAAATTTAATAATATTTTTTTACTAAAACTTACCTTAATTATTATCTGTTGGTAATTATATTCTTAAATATCCCACATATCAACACACTATTTTTTATTCATTTCACTACCACTGTCGAGAGAGAAAAAAAACTGTCATTGCGTCAGGCCCGGAGTGCGTCTAGGCTCGACTGTCACATGGTCACATGTGTTAAAAAGCGGAACGCAAGTCGCAACCACTTTCTTTCTTGCTAAATTGATGCAAAACCAGCACTTATGGATTAAGCAATAAGATTGCGGCTTTTATAAAATACGGAAGAGGGTGGTCAGCTTCAGTTATGTAATTTAATTTTTTGGGGACTTGATGCTGCGGTTAAAATTATCTCGAAACGTAATTGAACACGCTACAATTACCTGTATTATGAAATCTTTATGAATGATAGGTGTGTTTTCTTTTATGTTGTTGTTAATCTTGTTCTCATAAAGGTAGCAGGAAGGCGCTGGATGCAGGCCGCTACCTACCGCGCAATCTGGCAATCAAAGGGGGAGGCCTATGTTCAGCAGTGGACGTCCTGTGGCTGAAATGATGATGATGATAATTGTGTTGTGTTGTTTATTGATATTCTTCAAGTATCAAGTGGTATTCAAATTATTTGCGTGTTTGGGTTTTCCGGTTTTTTTAGAAACCACAACATGACTCATACGAGCGTATAGTTTTTTTCGTCTTTAATCAAAAAAACTTTATTTATCACTAAAAGCATTCATGGCACCTAGTTAATTAAAGTTTGTCCTTTTCTAAAGTATTTTTTTAAACTAATTGAACTCTACAGCAAAATTAATTTAATAAAAAAACTGAGTAAGAAAATCAGAGTTTACAAACTTACTTTCACATTTAAGATGTAATTTACCTAATTCAATCTTATTTTGCATTTTACTAAACTATCTTGAGTCGTTAATGAGAAGTTAAGCGTCGTTAGCGAGTTCAAAAGAACATAATCGGGGCAAGGAATGAATTCAATGTCAGATCTGCACTAGTTAATAAGTAATTAATTTAAGATACCTACGATATCCTTACACAAAACTGTAAAATCCTTCATAAACCTACCTACTTAATTTCTCTAACTAGTTTTTCAGAAGCAAGTAGGTAGGTACTTAGATTTTAGATAAAATCTCTCGATTGGTTGGTTTTTGGACGCGAAAGGGTTTGAGAAAAAAAGCCTTTTTATTTTTTGGTATTCCAAGACACATAACAAGTTGGAATATTATTAACTAGCTTTTGCCCGCGGCTTCACCCGCGTGAAATTTAGTTTGTCACAGATTGTCATAAATTATAGCCTATATGTTATTCTGGGTTATAAACATACCTAATACTGTAAAGTTTCGTCAAAATCCGTTCAGTAGTTTTTGCGTGAAAGAGTAACAAACATCCAGACATCCATACAAACTTTCGCATTTATAATATTAGTAGGAAGTAGGATTTCTGTAAAAAGAATGACAAAAACATTACTTGGATTCATCAGATAAACGTCGCCATCAATTGGGACTGAGTCATAATGCGTAACGATTTAGGTTTAACCTACAGACAACCGCACGATAATGTAAACATTGTGACATCTTATTCAGTTGTAATAGGTTCTATTTTGCAACAAAAATGGATTACATACAACCATAAAAAAATATTCGATAGTAAAATCCATAAGATCCGGCTGAACCTGTTTAAGGAAGCCAGCGAAATGGAAACGAGCCTCATCACAGTTCCACATATCGATTTATCAATTTTTAAAGACAGGTGAAAGTGAAACAGCAATATCTTAAAACAATGAGCGGCTTATTACAAAAAGTTAAACGACAGTTGAACACTTGTTTAAATGGTCATTTACTGTGAAAATGTCCTTTTAAACCAATATGCAACGTGTGTTTAACTTTTTTGTAATAAGGATCTGAGACTTGAGTTTTAGATATTAATTTAAAGTCAATTCGAATGATTGTGTGTTCGAGCGTATCTCTCTTAGTAATATAAATTTCTCGTGTCAGTGTTTGTAACAAAACTCCTCCGAAACGACTTAACCGTGCGTGTAGTCTAGTATTATATTCTCTGTGGTGTAGGTTTAACTGTTGGTGATAAGGACTTTTAACGCGTATGAAGTCGCGGTCACAGCTAGTTTCTTATAAGGATTGCTATTTAAAACAGGCTCGATCAATGCAAAAGAATTTCTTTTTTATCTATAATCTGGGGGCACGGCAGTGCCCCCGCCAAGTCGAGCGCGAAGCAAACACTGCCGTACCATCCTTTACTGGAACCATTTCGCCGCATTTTCAGGCCTCTATTTGAGAACCTTTAGATAAGACCAGAACGCAGAAATTTTCGTCATCTAGTAAGCTATAATCACACACTTAAAATCCAAAATTTCAAGTCTGTAGGTCAATTAGTTCCGAAGTTAAGCGAAAGCAAAGTTTCGCATTTATGACACTCACTCACTGATGATCATCAAAATAGAACTAGTACTTCCCATTAACTCAGAGAGCTGAAATTTGGTACAGAGTTAGGGTTTAATGGCCACATAAAGGGAAAACTATCAAAACTAGGAAAATCGAAGATCTGGAGTAACACCACATTCATAATAATCAATACTACTAGCGCCACACCGGCACCGTGGTGTTCGCCTGTAACGCTCACCGCTAGATGGCGCTAGCACTTTGAGCGTCGATTTTCTGCACCGCGGTGTCCAGATTTTTTTTCCTCTCTAGTTATAATTCTGATTCGTTGTCCATTTTAAAGGTAGATGTGTTTAATATCGTAAAAAAAATGACGATTATATTAAAGGACGACGACGTTAAATAATTATGCCACATTCTACAAAAAGAAGTGAAATCCCACCAAAAACATTCTGTAAAAAACTAGCCAAGTCTCGATGGAGCTGCTTGTTTATCTCTAAAAAGTAATGAAATCTAGACAAAGTCGTGCCAAGTCTATGGTTCTTTACTGCGATTTCTTTTTTATTATAGTTAATGTTGTGTGACTTGGCCGTTGAACAATCTTTATTAAGATAATCAATAATTATGCATAAGTATTATTGAAATACGCAGCTTTATTAAGCCTACAATTCACTGGTTATTAAATCAACGTTTTCCAAGTGGCAATTTTCCATCGTCAATGGGTAGTGGTTCTGGCAACAGATTGGTGCAATGGTGTCATGGAGCACCTGGTTTTGTACCCTTCAACGGCCAAGTCACACAACATTAACTATAATAAAAAAGAAATCGCAGTAAAGAACCATAGACTTGGCACGACTTTGTCTAGATTTCATTACTTTTTAGAGATAAACAAGCAGCTCCATCGAGACTTGGCTAGTTTTTTACAGAATGTTTTTGGTGGGATACATTTTTGCAGCTATAAAAACTGGTTTGTGTTTTCACTTCTAGAATTAATTTGTGATTCCACACGCATTCAACATTAAATACTTTCTGTCTCTTTGTCCAGTGTTTCTTCATAAATATGTATAGCGGAGTTCCGAGAACCTTTGGTGGGTTTTAATGAATGAAGTTATCGAATGACACTGTCTTCTACAAGTCTTCAAAACCAGTTATTGAAAAATACTATGTAGGTATTTAGGTAGAAAAGTAAAGATGACTTAGTTTCTTCCGCCACTTCTCAGCACCAGCCCATAATTATGTTGTCCCGAAGTGGTGGTATAAGGCAAGCTATATTTGGGACGAGTATGTGTATTGTGTAAGTTAAGCACCCTGGAAGGGGCCTAAGTACTGAATAAAAAAAGCTTTGATTTTGACATTATTTTCAGGAGACAATATTTGGCTCTTAATAAACGATTGACATTATACCGTCTCTCTCTTAATAATTTTAATTTTATCTTGCCAGTGAGAAATAAGAATGCGATTACCTTTCATTGATAAATTTCTCATTGACCAAGTGCTTACAATAAGCCCCATTGTTCTATTACGTAGTTGTAAAGTATATCACGAACGACACAGTTTTAGATCTGTGGCCATCACTGCCCTTGAACTGTTAACAGAACAATTAAAACATAGCGTGCCATCACTAAGGTTATTCAATAATTGTCTCGATTCACCAGAAACCATGTTTATTAAGGCTCCCATTTACTGTTCTGCTGCATTTTTCATCCAGCACTTTCAACAGACAGTACAATGAATCGGTTGACACAGGTAGTTATTTAATTTGAAAAAGTATTTTTAAGGTGCAAGTTCAAAAATGAAGTGCAGTGTTTTTTTATCTACAGATATGTGTCTTGTTTGCGGCGATCCTATGCTACGAGCCAGTGCTCTCCTCACCATTCTTCGAAAGTATAAATATAGATCGAAAAATTAATGTTGAGCTCAAACCTATGAAATTCGGACCTATAACATTTATCAAAGAGAAATGGGGACCTTTCGGGAAGTTATTCAAGAAACATACAATCGAGAGGAGAGATCTAGATGCAATGAACACCATAGACAGTAAGATTGAGGGGCCGATTTTTGAGGAGCGTTTTATACCGGTGGTAGAGAAAGAGGAGCCAATAATGGGTCCGGTGCCTGCGTATCGCCCGCCAGTCCAAGCTGTAGTTGCTGAGAGCGAACCAGCGCTCGTCAGTAAGCTGAACACGGATATTTCAGCTGCCATGGGAGCGAATACCTTTTTCACCCCAGCCAAAGCTCCAGAGAACAACAAGGAACTGGTAGCTCGACCGCCGATCCTAGTTGTGGTTACTGAGAGCGCACCAGCGCCCGTCAGTAAGCTGAACACGGATATATCAGCTGCGATACCAGCGAATTCATTTTTCACTCCAGCCAAAGCACCAGAGAACAACAAAGAACTGGAAGCTCTGGGAGCGGTCCCAATAGCTGGGTCTGCACCGATTGAAGGTCCCTTAATAGTGCCGGTAACTCCAGAAGCCGTCACCCCACTGGTAATTCCTCCTTCCCCACCCCCACCTCCTGTGCCAGGTGTGGGCATTGTAGAAACACCCCCTACTTCTAGATTTGGAGCTTTTGCCCGCTTCTTCGGAGAGATACTCTCCGAAATTGTCAACCGTCTTATAGCGAGAGCTCGGTTGTCTTTTGGTCAGTTTGCGAGCCCGCCTGCAACTCAATAGGTGAACCGTTATTTATTTGCAAAGTCAAACGATTTTATACTTTTTTTTAAATATGTTTAGTAAGATAGATTTTTTTATTTAGCTTTTGTAATTTATGGACTGATTTTATAACAGTCAGTTAACTATAGCTCTTATTTTTTACACCAAAACTATCAATGTCTACTTATTTTATTTTGCAGATATATTTTTATCTGTATCAGTAAAATTATAGCGTATGAAATGAAACTAAACATTTTTGTAATAAAACTTATATTAGTAACAAAATATCTCACAGCTCAAGTACCTAGCTTAGCAATCCCATTCGTCGGTAATATTAATCAGGTTAGCGGCGGCCAAAACCGCCTTGTCCATATCCCCCTCGGCCACCTCCAAAGCCCCCTTGTTGTCCAAAACCTCCTTGGCCACCTCCGAAGCCCCCTTGGCCACCTCCGAAGCCCCCTTGGCCACCTCCAAACCCTCCTTGTCCAAAGCCCCTTTGGCCACGTCCGAAGCCCCCTTGACCACCTCCGAAGCCCCCTTGTTGTCCAAAGCCTCCTTGGCCACCTCCAAAGCCTCCTTGGCCACCCCCGAAGCCTCCTGGGCCACCTCCGAAGCCACCTTGGCCACCGAAGCCGCCACGTTGAGCTAAGGCCACGGCCACCAACATAGCCACGATGAACGTAATTTGAAGAAACTGGAAATAAACAATAGTTGTTATACATGGAAAGTCGTCATTCTATAGTTATTTTTTTATTACTTTTTTAGAATTGGATTCATAATTCCAATCAGTTTTAATTACCTACTCGTATGTTCAAAATGTGTGTTTAATAGCTGTTCGCCTGTTCCCAAAATCGAAAATGCTTCCGAAACTTTTCATAATTGTATTTTGTAAAAGATAAGGTAAGGAGAGACCCAAAAGATAAGGAGACATGTAAGGTGCCCCATAAGGGCTACCTTTTCTTTTTTCTTTTTTACTACATTTTGACGTTCATAAGTGCCACTTGTGGTCTAAACTGAATAAATATTTTTGATTTTGATTTTGATAAATGTTGTTTACTCAAATAATTACGACTTTACAAATAAAATTGATCAATCTTACATTATCTTACTGAATTTGATTAGGTACATAATTTTTTTAATGGAAATAATACAAGTGACCTTTTTGTGTATCATTACAACGAAGATTCGGATACTTTTCTAAAATATGTTTAAAACACGAATTAAAAGGTCACCGAACTAATGTAGGTATATCCTAATTTATTATTCAAATCGTAGTAATTAACAAGTCTGTTTGTGGTTTTCCATTAAAAGTGTTAATGAGGATGTTTTGTAAAATATTGCTTTTTTATCTAGTAGACAATAATACCTAGATATTATTAAAAACAGAGTCACAAGAGTTACCTTATTATTCTAAATATATTTTTACAATAATAAAATCGTCTGTTAGTTCCCAAATTGGTAGTTATTGTTACATTATACTCGTACTATAATTATGTAGACCGATCATTTGATTACATTGTTGTTTTACTGCTTTGGTTTTTTTCAAGTGCGTACATAGGTAATAATATGATTCTTTAACTCGTGTAGGTAACCATGAACCCATCTTTACGGTCGAGCAAGTAAATTAGTATAAAGCGTCGCTGGTATATTTTTAATTAGGTATCATTTTTGCTTGTTAGTGAAAAAACATTTTTATGGAGTCAATTTCTCAAAAATATTTAAGCTCTTTTCGGTATCTTTTGATATGAATATTGTCAAGAAACTCTAAGATTATATTTATATTTATTTATTTTCCATATAAATACACACAATAGGTATATATATACATTAATATCTTCTGTCAAACAGTGATACAGTTTGTCGGCATTTAGGTACCTAACAGAAACTGCCACAACACGAACGCGATAGGCAACAAAGCGCATAACTACAGCGTTGTTGTTTATTTAACAAGGCGTTACATTTCTTCTTTAAAATCCTCTAGACCAATTTTACTGAACCCGTGGTTTATTGCTATTATTAATTTTTATAGGTTTCTACTTGGCCATGTTTTAATTAAAAAATCCTAAAAAGTATCTTCATCATAAAATGACAAAACATTATTTTGCTGAAACCTCACGGTTTTAGGTGAATGTGAACACAACTTTTTAAATCTTTGTGATTGTTATACTTATTACTGGGGAAGAAAGAATGTTTTCTTTATACTTATGAATAACTTATAATAATTAATAATGCACTTCTCTACTTATAACTGAAACGATAAACATTCCCGAACCTATAAAAAAGGTAGAGTATTACTATTCTATATTCTAGCATTATGTTTAGGTTCAAAAAAGCTTATACATAGATGAAGAATAAACAACACTGCAAGTTCAAAAAGATTGTTTGTTGTCCCAAATAAAGAGAAGATAACCAAAAGCCTTGCGTGATTAGTGAGTGATTCATGGATTTTTCACCAACTCTACCTCAGGGTGCGTGTAGTTTGTTCAAGGTTAATAATATATTTATTATCTCTACTGTAGTTATGCTGCATAATATGTTATTCTGTAATCCTTGGTATTCCTAATATAAATAAATGTTTGGGCAATAATTTGTTTTTGTTTTTGTATAAATTAAATTACAAAAATTTACTCAACTTTATCAATTTAGCATTCTATCTACTTTACCATTTAGTTTATTTACGAGGCTATTATTTTAGTAGCCTTGATATTTATGGTCTTTTTCACGTAGGTTGTGTAAAGTGACATATATATTAAAGCACTAAAATAATTCAAACCTTCAATTTATTTATGAAGATAATTACACTTTAGTTCAGTTTTATTAAGTAATTTTACCATGTATCACCTACCCATCCTATGTGAAACAGGCTCTAGACAAATAACAACACTGAATGACTTTGAATTAGCTTACTTATATCACTTTTATTTTATTTTCAAAACCGCAGGTACCTAATTACTGTATTTTAGTTAGTAAAAATATAATACTCACTTTAGCCATTTTGATTGTGATTGAAATCCAACTGTGACCACACTGGACTACGCCTGCGATAGCATCGGCTTAAATATATGTTAGTAAGTTTGGGGAATGCTGTATACATATACGTATTTCCAGTTCCATGAAATCATACACAGACAACGATGCCCAAAGTTTACATGTTTTTGTACTTAGGTGTGCAGGTTTACATGGTTGTAACTAGTTATTTTTTGCTGTTTTGACTAAAAAGGATACCTAACCTGTGAAACGGAGCTGAACTGAAATGATGGCATGGTAACTGAAATTTTTGAAAATTGCAAGAGTACCTACTAAATTAAAGATTTTGGAACGCTTTGTACTTTAAAACTTTGAGTTTTTTGTTGTGTTTGTTATTGTCAGGAGAAGGTCCTTATGTTATAATATTTAAGAAAATTGTGCGGAAAATAATAGAAATTAAGAAAAATTAACAGACATAATTAACCTACTTTTCTTATGACAGGGCAAATGTCTGTCGGGACAACTATCACTACATATTATAAAATAAAGTCGCTTTCCTGTCTGTCTGTCCCTGTGTATGCTTAAATCTTTAAAACTACGCAACGGATTTCGATGCGGTTTTTTTAGGGTTCCGTAGTCCTGACCCTTATAGTTTCGATATGTCTGTCTGTCTGTCCGAGGTTTTGCTTGAAAACTTTTGGCACTAGGGAGCTGTAATTTTGTGGAAGTATGTGTATTAATCACGCCGACAAAAGGGTAAAATAAAATCGTGGTTTGTTTGAAAAATCTGGAAAAATTCGTAATAATACTGCTTTTCATGAACTTTCAAGGAAAACCATAACATTGAAGATACATTTAGTACAAGTTAGTTTAAGAGTAATCGTCATTTGACTCATGTATTATAGAATTTCTTAACCAGAAAAAATTCCTCAGAAGAAAATATTTAAAGTGACTTAAGATGAAGTAATTGCTTGCTTCTGAAATATACTGTGGTAACGCGGACAACTACGGAACCCTACACTGCGCGTGGCACGACACGCACTTGGCCAAGTTTTAATAGAGTGATTCAAGATGAAGGTTTTTAAGTATACCTAATACATGTAAGTACCTGTGCGAAGCAGGGGCGGGTCGCTATTTAAATAATAAAAACATCTTCATACTTTGAGAGCCGCAGTCTATCAGTTGGTCTACGCAAATATGGATTCCTGATTAACACAACTATGTGATTTTTATTATTAGTTCACAATAGTTCGGAAAATCGCGATGGTCACTCGCGTATGATACGAATAATTCAAGGTATTCTCTAATATGAGGAAAATCTATTGTTGTTGAACCCAGTGAGTTACCTATATCTACCAAAAAAAGATTCTAATGTCCGTTTTCACCATCAATTCCTAATTTTTAAGAAACCCCTATGAAAACAAAATTCCTGTTATGTGTTACCATAGAAGTCACTTAAAAATTAGGGATTGATGGTGAAAACAGGCATAAGACAAGCTATCTCTAGATAACTTATATCAGACAAGTGGTTAAAATCCAGTACTGTTCGTATTGAAACAATAATTAGCTAGACTCTTAGCACAGCTTTTAACTGTGAGTTGACAATGTTGTTTTTTAAACCATTTATTAAGTTTGACTATTGGTTGTTTAACTACGGATAAAAAAGTGACCCTAAGATACTTTTTATGATCTTTCAATCTCGTCCTCCATAGAGTTTAAATGGTAATACCCATGTGACGTCACGTACTTACTATATTTTCAAAATCAAAAGTCAGTGACCGTTGAGATCAATAAATCAGGTAAAAAAGCTTCATAAAAAATAGACAACTTTTTTGAGACTAGCGTTCTACACTACTGACGATCCTATAATATGATTATGACGAGCTGTCCCGGCGAACATTTTTTTTATGCATAACAAGGTGTAACATGGCAGGTATTTGACCACAATCGCACCTGATGTTAAGTGGGATGCAGTCTTGGATGGTACATATCTGCCCTGTAAGTACCTATTCACTCTCGCCTTGAAAAAACCCGGACTATAGTCTTCGGGAAAGACAGCAGCAGGCAGCGAATTCCAGTCCCTAGCTGTTCGCATTACAAAAGAGTTATCGAAACGATTAGTGCGAGCTGGTGGAATGTTAACAATATAGGGATGGTACGCTAACCTGCGTCTGGTTCCCCGATGATGGAAGACCGCCGAATATTAATTTATGAAACGGATCCTGTTTAACATCTATAATATTTGACAATAGCTGGCTTGACGAACTTCGGTAAATGTGTTTAGTTAATTCAGTATTTACCTAAAAACCTGTTTAAATTAATTAAAAATAAAGTAACGTGTGACGTCAAGTGCCAAGTTGCGGAAAATGGCCAAGAAAATTCCTAATTTAATCATTAAACAGTTCCAAGACTTTAAAAAAATATTTTATAGCCTATGCCTATGCTCAGCAATTTTTTTTTGGATTCTAACGGTGAAAGAATTTTACAAATCGGTTCAATAGTTTCGGAGCTTATTTCCTCCATGGAAACAAATAATTAAATCTTTCGTCTTTATAATATTAGTTTATAGATAGATTTCATAGGTATTAATACATTAAAAGAAAAAAAAAAGGAAAAAATCGCCTCCCAAAAGATATTGCTCTACCTAATAGATGCAAGACTCGGAGGCAAACTGTAATAATAGTGTCGTGTCGATCACTATTGTATTGATTTATCTCTGATCTGATCTGATCGATACCGGTCGCATTAAAATGAAAAACATTACAATCGAAAAGAGAATCTCCACCTTTTTTGAAGTTGTTTAAAAGTAAAAGAAAAGAAAACTTTTAACACATTATGCATTAGGGTAAAACTCTAAATTTAAAAAAATCTTTTAAGTAGGTAATGACAATATCCTTAAGTGAATCATTAAGCAATTGTTAAATAGCATCATTAGTGTATATTACCAATGTATAAAACAACACATTTTTCAGGAAAAACAGTTTAGAAAGTAAGTAGGTACGTGACGTACACGCCAAGACAAGTTACTACGAGTTTACCAAGAAGATTTTCGATTATTATGAATTACACCCGTATTCACAAACGATGCTTTCTTAAGTGAAGCAGCAAGACTATGCGAAGTCGAACGCACAGCGTTGAAAAGAGCTCTGTGTTATTTATTGATTCGTGTGTGTCACTCCGCCACTCAAGTATTGTCTATGAATGGGTTTTTGGGACCCTGTGCGTCCACGCGCATTGTGAGACCTCATGGTAATGGTTGTGAATACGGGTGTTAGTTAACGGCAGTTAAGTAAGGTTTGTATTTTTAATCAATGTTCAAAAGTAATTTCATTACAAAACAAATGAAAGGCCACATTAGTTAAAAATCAAAGCTTTTTATTTTCGTTAAAATACGTTTTTCATGTTTTATTATAACATCGCAAGCCAAGTCAAGAAGCCAATGTGACGTCATCAGTGTAAGATTTTTCAGTGGTAGCTGCCATGTCCACCTCTGCCTCCGCTGGAGCCTCCCTGACTGCCACCGTAACCCCCTTGGCTACCGAAGCTTCCTTGGCCGCCATGACCACCGCTAGAGCCGCCGCCAAGTCCGCCTCCTTGGTTACCCCCAAAGCCACCTTGGTTGCCCCCAAATCCTCCTTGGCTGCCCCCAATTCCTCCTTGGCTGCCCCCAATTCCTCCTTGGTTGCCCCCAAATCCTCCTTGGCCACCACCTCCTCTCTGGCCACTAAGACCACCCAACCCACCTTGGCTTCCACCACCATAGCTGCCGCCAGCAACGGCCACGGCAAACAAAGCCGCCCCAAGGATGAACAGAATCTGAAATATAGAAAAGTTTTCTTAGTGTTAAAGAAGATCGGAAGATACTTGTTTCATCACCTGCTGATAAAGGCCCCGAGAGCCTATCAGAAACCTATCTGTCAGGTAAAATACTATTTTTAATTTTACAGATCTTGAATAAGCATAATTGACAGATGTAAAGTTAACAGTAATCAGAAACCCTTGTTGGTCCTCAGTTTTCTTTAGTGTCAACACTGTATCCGTGTCATTTTGGCCATCTCTGGGAATCTCTGATGGACAGCTATTAATCTAAGCATTTTAGCATTTAAGTATAATAAGTACGAGAATGCAAGGAAAATGTTCGATGTGTGAATGTGTGAACTACTGGTAATCTGAGCTCACACTTCATTAGGATGTGTGTTAATTTGTCAACGTCAACAAAATGCGGTATGAGACAGTGCATTGTTTGTGCACATGCAATTTTATGTCCCTGTGACCAAAATTCTGTTATATCTAAGTTGGTAAAATCCATGACGTATTCTTTATGCTTACATATGTTCCACTGTTGGGAAATGATGATGCAACCCAGCCTTATTTGTGTTTTTCTCATTTTCACCGATTTGAAAATAAGAAAAAATATAATATCATGTTCATAGATTTTAAAATAAAATGTGCCTTGTATCTTACCTTAGCTGAAGCCATTGTTGAGATGGAATGAGTTACTGCCTGCCATGGCATCTCCCGCAACTTATATACTAGTCAGTTAAGCATATTCCATGTGTACTAGGAACCTGATAATTGATTCTATTTGTGTATCAATCACTGTGCAATGTTGGTTTAATAATAATCGTTAGCGATTAATATTTTTCGACGCTCTGTTGCATGGTTGCAACTACTTTATCTGCGGATGATTTTCAAGGTAGTCTGATATGGCGAAAATAATTGTTTTGTATAACTAGTGTCATTCCAATAATAACTAGGATAAATATTTATTAAAATAATCATAATTCGACATTAGCTTTTGCCCGCGGATTTGCCCGCGTAAGCATCGCTCAGTCATAGAAAGAAATTATCGCACACGTCGCGAAAAAAATCTGGGATAAAAACTAACCTATGTCTTCCCTGGCGTTGTGCTTGCATGAACTATTTCCACAACCAAAATTGTATCTACCAATACTAAAACTCACTAAGTTCGCCACGAAATTGTTCAATAGAAAATAGGAAGAGTTTGAAGTTTGATCGACATAACAATAAACATTCAATAGAAATTATTAGTTGCATTATACAGTCAGCATTTTCCAACTTGTTATTAAAATGAG